GAACCCCATAGAGAACCTGTGGGATATTGTGAAGAGAAAGTTGAGAGGCGCAAGACCCAACACTCTGGATGAGCTTAAGGCCGCTATCGAAGCATCCTGGGCCTCCATAACACCTCAGCAGTGCACCTCACAGGCTGATTGCCTCCATGCCACGCCGCATTGAAGCAGTCATTCATGCAAAAGGATTCCCAACCAAGTATTGAGTGCATAACTGAACATGATTATTTGAAGGTTGGCGGTTTTTGTATTAAAAACACTTGTCTTTCATTGGTGGGATGAAATATGCTAATTTTTTGGGACAGGCATTTTGGGTTTTCATGAGCTGTATGCCATAATTATCAGTATTAAAACAATTAAAGACCCAAAATATTTAGTTGGTGTGCAATGAATCTGAAATATATGAAAGTTTCATTTTTATCATTACATTATGGAAAATAATTACCTTTATCACAATATGCTAATTTTTTTAGAAGGACCTGTAGAATCTCAAGGGTTTGCTTTGGGAAACTGATTCTTACCAACTGTGACTGTCAAGATACATTTTCTGTCCCACTTACATGTCTGATGCCTGCAGTTTCACCATCAGGAGGTCAGTTTGACACATCAGCATACATGTAAGTTATTATCTTCATTTATCAACTCCATGACTTTTCTGTTATAGAATATCATGTTGGTCAACAAAGTAGACTCTAGTTAGCCAACTACAAAATAATGTTAGTAGTAATGTTAGTACTTTGTTAGCTAGCTTACTAAGCTAGCTAGCATTACACTAGCTTAGTAAGTCAGCTGATATTACTGCATTTGTTGTGTAGAGACTCACTGTATTCACAGTTCCTTGTAACAAATGCTAACCTGTTAGGTAACCTATTATATCATTATTGAATATTGATTGGTGTGTGTGTGTGCACATGCATATCTGTACCTTTACTTACATATAAATGCACAGACATTTACTTATATAGTTACATATTGATTTGTAGTTTTGTGTCATTCAAACATTGTCTGTTTTATGGTTTCTCATCTAGATTATCATGGCTACTTGGAGGACAGCTAGGATACCCGAAGACCTTGCTCGAGATATGATCCTGAATGGATGGGATGAAGAGCCCATCGGTGGGACTGACTCGGGATCTGACATCTCGGATGTAGAAGACACAGATTATTGTCCACCTGGACATGTCAGGCTGTCTGGGAACCAACCTGCATTTGCTGAACAAGATCAGTCAGACACAGAGGAGTCCTCTAAGTCCTCTAAAGAGGGAATGGATATTGTGTCCAACAGAATGAGCCACAAGGGCTCTTACTGGGCAGCGTTATCTCCCACTCAGGCTAAAACACCAAGCCACAATTTACTGAGAAGTCGGTCAGGGCCTGTACCTGGGTTTAGCACCATCTCTCAAATAGATGCATGAAGACTGTTTATCACTGATAGTACATTAGAAGAGGTGTTGACATGCACAAACATGGAGGGAAGAAGAGTCACAACAAACAGAGGCAAAGAGTGGAAAAATCTAAGCAAAGAGGAGTTTATGGCCTTCATTGGATTGACCATTCTTGCAGGAAGTGAGAAGACCTGGGATGCACCGATCCGTGTGCTCTTTGGGAGTCCTCTACACAACCCAAGGTACCCTGAACCTACCAACCTATATCACTGAAGCAATTGGAAGGTGTGGAGTGACTAAAGTTGCAAACAAGTAACAGGAGAGAGGCACAAAGGGCCAACAGAAGAGAAAGAGGTGCCAGATGTGTCAAAGAAACAAAGATTGCAAAGCCACCAATTGGTGCTGAAAATGCAGTACACCAGTGTGCAATGGTCACAGCCAAAAGCAAATGGTTTGTGACAACTGCACACATTGAATAGATAAAAGACATTTGTGTGGGCACATGTGAGTGGACAGTGTTCTGGTCGTATGTTCATTCTCTTTTTTGTCCTTCAGACAGACGGACATAGTAACAATAATTTTTGAAGATTTTTTATGTTATTTCTTGTGAAAAAATATTATAAAAAGTTATGAATAAGCATGTTAAATGTAAAATCTGTCTTTTGTTGACCCAAATATAATAAATATAATCACCTTTAACCAAAATTAAAGACATCCTTTAAATTCATTGCAAAAACACATCGATTCTAATTGGGGTCATTTTTGACTCCACTCATGGAAGAATGAAGGTACTAGTCGTTCATGCATCCAAGGGTTAAAGCATGTTGTTGACCAGTTAATCCTTTATCTCTCAGCCTAGATAATGTTTTTGATCAATAATAACACAACCATGTTATTGTTGATGTTTTGTTCTAATGTCAATTAGGCAGATGATCAGAGCCCTAAACCCCAGAGGACCACAGAGAAGATTCAGGAAGAAACGCAGAGGTGTAGAAGTCTGCATCAGCCCTAACCTCAGTGAATCCAGTGACCTGGTGGTGGAATGTGAGGGACAATATGTCAGTGCTATTAAACTTGACAACTAGGTATCTATGCATGCAACAAGCATCATCCACACTCTCAGAGTGAACATTTTCTACTGCTGGAGACACCATCAGCTAGGAGCGGGCTTGTTTGTGTCCAGAGAAAGCAGACATGTTGATTTTTCTGAAGATAAACTGTTATGTGAAAAGGTCCTCAGTGTGTAGCAGTGAGCATTAGACACTGACGTGTCACTGGTTTGCAACTGGTCTTTTGACCTGAAAATTATTTGTTTATTTTTATGTAAGAAAACTGCTTGGAATAGAAATACCTAAGATAAAAAATAAAACTCACAATTTGTACTGTAATGTGTAACGTAATTTTATTCTTGTTAGAATTAATAGTAATTACAAAATTGGTACCGAAAAAGAACTGTCCAGGAACCGACACCGAAGTGAAAGGTACTCAGCCCCAACGGTCCCATATTTCAGGTATTTTTCATTTTCTAACCACCCGATCTCATCCAAAGACCTTACTAAGCTCTGTCCAATGCATTTATAAGGCTTCTTCTGTGGCTGAAACTTTCACTTATCGTTTTGTTGGACGTTCCCAACTTTCTGACAACTGCCTGATAACAGTTCTGCTATACCTGTGATGCCACCACCTGTTGCCCCTTCTAAACGTGTTAGCTCCTTACATTTACTGAGCCACTATTGGTCAGTATGTGGACTAAAGCAGGTCCAGATCAGAATATTCCTTTTGGGTCTTAAATTTTTATTTTTGTGTCAGTGTGTGGATATCCTTAAAAATGAAATGTTACAAATGGTACAACAAAGTCGTCAGGTCCTCTGGACGGTTTCTTTTTGTTGAAACCTTTCATCTTTCATCCAAAAGACTTCCATCAGTCCAAGGAGCCACAACAAACTCAATCTTATATATAGGTATAGCACTTTCACATAGTGGGCCAACCAGTTTTTTGGATGAAAGACGAAACGTTTCAACAAAAAGAAACCGTCCAGAGGACCTGACTTAACTTTGTTTGGATCTTTTACCTGGATTACTGAGCATGAACTTTGATATTACAAATGGTAGGGAACCTCATAATTATATAAAAAAAATATTCAAAAAAGGTTATATGGAATACAGAATTTCAAGTACTAAAAATGAGGTTAGTTTTGTTTCTAACAAAACCATCAAAAAGCAGCTGTACCTGCAGTAGTCCTTCTGGTCTGGTCGAAGCCGGCAGATCTTCAATAAAAAGGTGTTTTTTCTCTGTGCTGCGGCAGACGTTAAGGTGGCAGCCAGGCTCCAGCATGTAGCCGTTTATCAGACGAATGGCCTCATTAGCTTGGGCCACAGTGCCGTATTTGGCATAGGCAAAGCCCCGATTCTGACCGCTGAAGTTCATCATTAGACGAAACTCCCACAATGGCCCCACGGTGCTGAACAGAGGGATCAGCACATTCTCATAGGCGTCATGTGGGATGTGACTGATGAAGACCTCACAGCGAGGTCCTGGGATCGGACCATCCCACACTACCAATGAAGAAGAAACAAGACTGGCTGGTTATTTACAACTCAACTTAATCAAATCCATGTATGATCATACATAGAGAAGCAGGTACAGTGGTGCTTGAAAGTTTGTGATCTCTAGTATAATTTTCTATATTTCTGCATAAATATGACCTAAAACATCGTCAGATTTTCACACTAGCCCAAAGAGAACCCAGTTCTCAAAGAAGCCCGGGGTAACTTCTAAGCAATTGAAGACCTCTCTACCATTGGCTAATGTTAATATTCATGAGTCCACCATCAGGAGAACACTGAACAACAATGGTGTGAAAGGCAGGGCTGCAAGGAGGAAACCACTGCAATGAAACCTTTAGCAGAACCAGGCTCAGAACAAGCGGCCATCTGCTTCAACTGGCTGCATTTGAGAGAAACAGGAAGGAGGAACAGATACACAATGGCAGGTCAAGAATCAAATGTTACGATAGAAATAGTATCAAATGAAAAATATTAAATTTTAACAATTCATTTACAAAAATGAGGTCAATTTGTCCTCTAGTAGTCTAAACTTAAGGCAGCATAACAAACCAACCCTAATTATAGGATTTATCAAAAAGGAAAGTCTTTAACCCCAGTCAAAACTGGACAATGTGTCAGCCTTATGGACAGAAACTGGAAGTGTGGAAGTCTGTCCTGAGGAGCTGCTATCGCTGTGTGGTGGACAGTGTCCTCTGCACCTGCAACACCGTGTGGTGATGCAGGTGCAACACGTGACTGAGGAACATTCAGAACAAGACCACCAGGCTCAGAAACAGTCTCTTCCCTGCAGATGTCAGACTGCTGAACTCGAGCTGCACTTAATTCAGCTTCATCTTATGTTTTTAAATTTTATTATATACACACACACACACACACGTGTGTGTGTATATAT